CTTCTTTCCAGTGAATGCATGAATAAGTTAGCAACAATTTGAGGAACCGATGATCCCATAACCATACCTTCTGTTTATTATGTACAAATTGCAAAAATTGGAAAACGTCGAACTCAAACATAGATCAAGAGCTTTGTTAATGTCTGGGGGACCTAATGGACGTCATTTTTTTAGTTCACTGTCAGAATCAAAGAGATTATGCACAATATCTAAAACCTTCCTTATAGGAATATTAGTGAACATAGAGTAAACATAAAAACTTGCCATTAATTCATCTTCTTCTATGCAGATAGTAGTGATAAAATCTTTGAATTCACTGGAATTTTTTTATTCCGTGTTTGATTTCACTTTCATATGTTTTAAAATTTTTGGCTAGATATCTAAAAAGATTGTACATTGATGACTTTGTGTAATAAACCACAGGTCTTATTTAACATCTTTTTTTATGTATTTTTAGTAGTCCATAAAATCTACAAAGCTTGGAAAAGATCGCCAAATGAAACGTTAGATTTACTCTATATTCATTCGCCGAGATTTCGCAATTACATTCTTCTTCCTTAATGTCTCACATCAACTCGGTGTCCAAATACTGTGAAAGTATTCGAATAAAGTTAGACGACATCTTCCATCAGCTATCCTTTATATACTTCATGATTCTTCCGATTCTGTTGTTATTCCAATTCTTCTCTTTTTCTCTTCCTATTCTCTTCAGTTCAATCTTCTACTGACAGGCATTCCACTTCTGTTTAGTGCTGTATACTACTTCTATTTGTCCTCATAAACAACACACATCACGGTACGACAAGGTATGAAGAATAAAATGAATTCATCAGTCTATGTTACAGTTCCATATCAACTTGTATAGAACCTAAAATTACAATTCTTATTCAATGTTTAACATATATTCAGTTTGTAAAGTTGAGATAAATGTTCGAAATTTAATCCAAATCATAAGAAAAAGAAGAAGAATAAGAATAGAGATATAAAATGTAGTTAAGATCAATTTTGTTTCGCGTGTTCAATGTTGCATTGTTTATTTTTTATAGATGAATGAAAGTGAGATACTTTTTTGGTAGCCATAGAATATTTGAATAAGGAAGCAAACATACAGTCTAATATATAATATGTATAACTTTATTTTATGCTCCTCTTAAATTATTCATATCAAACGGCATATATGATTGATTATGTGGAAAAGTGAATTTGAAGAAGGAATGATTTCTCTTTCTCCATCTTTCTGTAAGCAGTACAATTAATTTTCCGTAGTTTTAAACAGTTGAGATCATGAATCAATTGAAGCTAGACCATCATGAAAAACCTTGAAGCACTGGAGAGCCGTTTCGTCCTGTTGTGGGACCCCTCGGAAGTGTGTACTTACGGCCCCGCCCCGTGGGATTCGAACCCAGGACCTATCAGTCCCGCACCAGGTGCTTAACCAACTAGACCACTGAACCGGCATCCAACGGTGTTAATGTCCAACGTCAACTAATCCACGAAATTGAGTGACACATCCACCATTGTCATCAGTGAGTTTCTGCAGTTTTCTTGGAAACAATAGAATACCAATCATCTGTTAATTTATTTTATTTACTTTGTCTCGATTATGGGTTAGGTGTGTTGTTTGTCTTTCTTTATTCTTTTATTATGTCAAAGAATTCATTTTTCGGATATGATTCAAACGAAACTTCTTAAAGGGATTCTTGAATACATTCAAAAAGATTAGAGATAAATTTCACCATAAACTGACTGTAGTTTAACAAACCTCTAAAATACTGAACTGATGATGTTGTACCAAAACATTGGATATGTGATATCATAAGACAGAGAGAACTAAACATTCTTAAGCTTAATCTCATTTTGCTGTTTTAATTATGATAAATCTTATTTAAGCACGATTCAACTAGCCATTGCTTCTTAACATTCAGATGGTATCCAGCTAATGACTAATCATAATAAATACTAATCCTGAAATTACTTTAAAAAGGTTGTACTTCATATGACTACATACCTTTGCCTTATTTTAATATTTACCAAGTATGTTAATAATAGTAAGCAGGATACATATGTCAAACAAATCTATATGTATCATTTCCGGCAAGATATTACTTTTTTCATTAATAGGAAAAATGATTTATCAATTTTGACCAATAGGTGATAGTATGACCTTGAGTAATGACAATGATAAATTGATCACTGGGAAACATTTGGCAGAATTCATTGTTTAAATGCTTATTATTTTTTTGCATACATCAGAATTATACTTACCTCACACTTTTAGTAATATCTTTCTAGAGTATTTTTCATTTAAGAGTTTCATTTTTAACCTAACAAAATAAATAGTTGTATCCGATAGCAATTTTACTAATCTGAACAACTAAAATTAGCTTCTCAATGTCAAATATACTATGATAATGATGTTATGATTTAAAGTAATCAATTTCTATGAAAAAATATTTCTTTTTAGTTAGTGTATAACATATATCTGAGAAAACTAGAAAGCACTGGATGATAGTTTCGTTATAGTATGGGACTCCTCAAAAGTATGCATCCATGATCCTGCATGTGGGACTCGGACCCGGAACCTTCGATATCGCGCGCGAACGCTTAACCTCTAGACCACTGAGCTGACTCATGAATTGAACTATCAAAAACAATTTTACTACAATCTCCACAAACTTCATTCTGAAAATATCAGAAAGTCGTTTTTTTCTGTGAACAATCTCATCAGTAGTATATTCAAATTTTCTAGAAATCAACTTTTGTTTTTTTCGTAATTTCTTTAGAATGAATAATTTAAAATGTGTAACACAATTTTAGTATTTTCAATTTTCCATCGACTAGGAATACACAAGATTTTTCTAATAAGGTAACTACTATACAATCAATACTTTTTGTTGTTATATCCCAATGAGTAGATATCATGTGTTGCTGACGTTTCGTAACTTAATGTAAGCCAAAATAGCCTAAATAAAATTAACATAAATTTAAACTTGTGTTAACCTTATTTCAGTTATCGATTTTCTCTGAAGAAATGGCTTACATTAAGTTACGAAACGTCAGTAACACAATTTTTTCTACTCATTAGGATATAACAACAAAAAAATATATTTAAAAGCAAAAATGGATAGTGGCTAGCAGTGGAATTAGAGACGCGCGTTTTGCCCCATTTGGAACTCCATTTTTGCTTATAATGCTTGTGAATTAAGGCAATATCGAGGCAATACGCACAGTATGCACATATGCCGATAAGAGACTGATCAATTGCAGTGCTAAACATCAATGAGAAGATTCAAGTAAACAATACCGAGTGAATTTAAAAAATATATTTATTATTAACTTCTAACCAATGCTCAATTTACTTAAAACTATCAAGTCTAACCTTTGGATTGATATCTATATATTATACAATCAATTTTAACTAACATTCTAAAGCAAGAGATTAAGTAAATCAACTTATTTCTAGAAGATAGGTTATTATCTGGCTTAACCATTTTTAAGTATAATATACTATGGATTCAAATAGTAGATCAGATACAATAAATAATGATCGAATTAAAATTGCTACTTGTTAAAATAGTTGAATGTGAGGTCTCAACTAGCATAATACTCATTTTGTAACCCGTAATTTTACCCATCAGTTATGGAAAGTTTTCTATGTCTTTCAGTCATCATACAAATATTCATGTGTAAAACTATATGAAATAATGTTTCAATTAAGATGTTATGGTTTAACAATACATAAAATCAGTGGTTTGGAGGTTAAGCGTTCGCGCGCGAGACCGATAGGTACTGAGTTTGAAACTCGCAAGCTGGGATCGTAGATGCGCACTATTGAGGAGTCCCACAATAGGATGCAACGGCCGTCCAGTGCTTCCAGACTTTCCATGGTTGTCTAGCTTCAAATGACTCATGATCTCAACTATTGAAATTAATATTTAATCGTCATCGTTTACATACCAGACAGATCTCAGATAAACAACCATAGAAAACCAAGAAACATTACAGTTATTTTATTCTAGTATAGGAATTTTCAGCAGAGGATATCGATGACCTCATCAGTATTTGAGGACATCAAATCTAGGTTATGTAAACGAGCGCTTAACTTTCAGGCTTCCAAGCTGATATCCAGTGATATAGCGTAATCTAAACTCGAAACGCTCGTTTCATGACCTGAAATTCCTGGTTTCAATATCTGGTGGGATCATCGATGAATGGTGTTTAAAAATACCACATGATATGATGGAAAGAAAAGTCAATTTTCGATTGATTTAATAATTATGAGCTTTGTCCAACATTACTTCCTTTCTGATTCAATGTAGCATTTCTTTTCTTTTCTTGTATGATATTTTATTCTGCATAATATACGATATTCTTGTATTCGATTGACATGAATTATGCTTAGTATGTGATTTGTTATAACTCCAAGTATTTTTCATATATGTGATTTCATCCTAATTAATAATGAAAATGGGTGTACAATCAATACATAAATGAGTGTATTTTCTACTAGAGTTGTCGTCGTCGTCGTGTTTTGGGGTTAACAAATCATCACTTATACCAGTCTTTGTGTTCTTACTTTCACGTCGTGGGAATTGCAGAGATCCCTCGTTCCGAGTATAAGTGATAAGCGTTTACGACGACAATCAGTGACGACCAGTTACAGAAAGTAGCATTAAAAGAGCCAAGACAATAAGCATTCAAACGACAAATTATAACATCATAGTAGAGCGAAACAGCTATCTATTGCCTCATGGATTTTAACTATTGTCAGACTAGTATTAATTTGTGATCCCAATTTATGAAAATTCGATAATCTCCATAAACCTTAGTTGCGAATTTGTTTAATCAACGTATCTTCGAATACATAGTTATCTATATTGATAATAATTATTCATAGACTACTTTAATAACGGAACTTGAGATACTAGAAAGAATTACATTTCTTGTATTCCTAAACTGACTATTTAATTTTTTTTTCTATTTGTTTAATTATACAATAGGTGATTCATGCCGAAGGTAGTAAACGTGTTATGAATGAATGTATACAAGTTGGAAGATGGCGTCGTTTTGTTCATGCACAATATTTAAATTGTTATACATATGATATACATGAAATCTATCGTAATCATGTACGTACCATTGAATTATTTGTTTATTTAGATGAATCAATGAATATTACTTCATGTTCTGACTGTTTTAGTTCAGAAATTAAATCACAATTAAGTGGAGCTGTAGTTACTGTACATAATGCAGAAACGTATCCAGATATAAATCAGGAAGGAATAAATATTCAACCGGGTAGTTTAACTGAGATAAAAGTTAAAACTATCAAACATACACAAAAAACACCGCCGTATGGACGTTGTTCACCTGATACTCCAACGAAAATTCATCTTTACGGTTCAGAAGTATATGCATACTCAGAACATGCATGTCGAATGAGTACTATACAAGTAAGTCGGTAATTTAAACAATTTACTGTCAACTTTTTCTGTAAAAATATAATCTATAGACGACCTTTGAGCGACGCTAAAGAGATCTTGAGAATGTCCATCTACATACTAAGGCTAAATGACGGTTATAAACTAGTGTGAGGAATTAAAATTAATATTTACAATTGATGGTTAGGGTTAGGAATCAGATATTGGTTTTTCATCACGAACTGATATCGGGTAAAATGCCAAAACTCTATTAAAAACCAAATGGATGAGTGAATTTCGCGCCAAAATTCAAGACCTGTTATCATAAATCCAATTGGTTTGTTCATGAATTATAGTCTCGCCACTTTTTCATTGAAGACTAGATTTACTACAATATGCTGTTTATTTATTACGTCTAGAAAAATGTAACACAGAATATAAACAGTAATCTAGTTTTATATTTGTTCCAAGATTTCAAGTGACTCTCAGAAAAAGTAATTAAAGTTGAGCGTTTGTGCGTGAAATCAAAGTTATCGGGTTCGAATCCCATGTATGTGATCGTGGGTGCGCACTGATAAGGAATCATGTACTAGGATAGGTTTCCAATGATGGTCTAACATCTATCAAAAACTAAGCAATCTCCACAACCTTATATTGATAATTAAGAAAATATTTTGATAGATCATTATCAGATTATGCATTTAACTCGAATAGCTTTTCAGTTTAGTTGATAATTATCTTTTAAGATGATAAAGTTGTAATTTTAGCTTGATAATCATTTTTTTAGTTTAGTGAAAAAAACAGTTGAATCTTTGTGATACAATACGTAAATCAGTTGGATGATACAGGTAAATGACTTTCATCTAGACTAGCTCAACTTAGTTATATATCAAAAATACGAAAAATATTATAGCGAATGTCTAATTGATGAAGTGTTGTCAGGTTAAATTAATATGGATTTGATTCAACCATAAAGTATCATCAGTGTGAAGTTGTAGAGATTGTAAAGTTTTTGATTGAGATCATGAACTGATGAATGTTCGACCACCATTGAAAACCTGAAAGCACTGGAATTACAAAAATGTTATAGTGCTGAATTCAAATAAGCATGAAGCTTAAATTGTATATTTCCTAGAAATTTTCAGTATTTTAACACTACAGTATTGTATAAAGTAATAACTATGATGTCCAAAATGCTGTTAACTAAGAATACATTCAAATTCAGCTTTCTTCCAAGTCAAATTAATTAATTATCAGAAGGGGTTTTGTGGAGAATTTAGAAATTTCACAGATTGAAATCATGAGTCAATTGAAGCTAGATCACCATGGAAAATATGGAAGCACTGTGCGGCCGTTTCCTTCTAGTATGGGACTCCTCAGCATTGCGCATCCACGATCCCGCCCCCCCCCACGAGATTCGAACCCAGGACCTATCAGTCTCGCGCCATGCGCTTAACCAACTAAACCGCTGAGCCAGCATCCCATAATAGGGCGAAACGGCCGTCCAGTGCTTCCAGGTTTTCCATGGTGGTCTAGCTTCAATTGACCCATGATTTCAACCAGTGAAATTAATTAATTGTCAAAATTCTTTATATCAATGAAGATCATAAAACGAATTTCACTGATTATTGACATTCCGACATATTCAATTTTTAAACCTAAATGGTCAGAATACATCATCATCATCATTTTATATAACACAGTTTGTGATATGTCATCCTTATACATTTGCATACAATGCATTGGATACTTAAGGTGAACATAATTATAAAAAAAACAGGAAAGGTTGTAAAATATGGGTTTTTGTTAGTTACCTACAAACTAATGATTTTCAAACTTAATTATTATACTTAATAATCTGTTTTATTAAATCCCTAAAGGTTAATTAAGGTTCAAAAAACTGTGAAACTTTAATCAACCACCCTGAATATTCTGATGTTTCTATGTACGATTCAATTTTATAATGACTTAGGATTATCCAAAGTTTTCGGTAAAACCAAATTAAAACCAATTTTTTATTTTTGATACCAACGTGTCCCCTAGATTCTATGTTTAGTCTAGTTTCTGAATATTCTCTCTAGATGGTACAGTTAATTTAAATATTTAAATACAAAATTACAGAACATCTTAGTAAAATCTGAGAATTATACAGTAAATACTTCATTTGCAAAATGTCAATCAATTGTCTAAGACTTCATTGTTCTTTCGTTTTCACACCAATCATTTTTTATTCTCATTCTCTTTTCTTTAATTTTCTTAACCTTGTGTTGCCAAACATTTCACTTTCAAATGATGGGACATACTACTTATATCTGTCGACATCAGTAGCACACTACATATACGGAATGACAGACTATGATTTCTAGGTATAAATAAAATAGTTAAGATAAACTGAATTATATTTAATATCAGAAGGGGCTTTGTGGATATTATAGTAATTTCAATGGTTGAGATCATGAGTCAGTTGAGGCTAGACCACCACAGAAAACTTGGAAGCACTGGATGGCCGTTTCGTCCTAGTATGGGACTTCTCAACAGTGCGCATCCACGACTTCGCCTCACGGGATTCGAACCCAGGACCTATATTTAAATATCCACTGCTATAATTTAATCTGATTTTGGTGCTGTCTGTATTCAATTACTATTTACATAATTTTGATAAATATGCATTACAACATGACATTAAGCATACACATTGAAACCATATAAGATTATTCTATCTACTTATCAGATAGTTTAGTGTTATTTATTTTTGTCTCAGAAATGAGAATTAGACAACGTAGAAAAAAATAATAATAGGATGAAACCTGAGAACTTTCGGGGAGTGTTTTAAAAATAGAAAAATGAGAGATAGCAAAAGTGAACTGATACACATGGGAAGGATTTTGAAGAGAATAAGCTTAGTATTTTCTAAATTCGTTTGTTATAGTTTCCCATTTATGTTACAATAAATGATTTTAATTCAAAAAGGGAATGGTCATTTGAGAGGACATTTTAAGAAAGTTTCAAAACTGAAATCAAATCGTCTATGTCTGGAGTCCCGTTACTCGCACCGAGTAATGAATTACTGGAATTCTCTGCCAGAACATGTAATATCAGCACTTTCCTTTGATGTATTCAAAACACGTTTGGACATCCACAGTGTTGTAAACTGCAAGGATTAACATGAGTTGATAGGTCTTCTATCCTTACTACTGAAGACTGAATTTATTCACCTGTAAATGAACTTTCATACAGTATTGTTGGTATTTAGTGTTAATAACATTTCTAGTGTAATTTATGAAGCCAATAAAAAATAATATGAGTAACAACAAACAGAAGATTGAGTGCTAAAATATAAATTCATGAATAACTCATAGCATAACATTTTTGTTCACTGACCTGTATGTTGTTACAATGATACTTCATTTAGATAATAATCTATATTTGCTAGTCATCTAATGTGGCTAAGAACTTGGAGTTTTCCTCTTCACGACCTATCTACTGAATTAAAAATAGGAAACGGACGATATTGCTAGATGTTGATTCCTTGTTCATCAATGTACCATTATCTGAGACTAATGACGTTTTTTGCCAACAACTACTTGAAAAATAAACCACTATCTGGATTCCCAAGGTTACTTCTTAAATGTAAAATGAATGTACATTTTGTGTTTAATAACACATATAGACAAATTGATGGAATAACTATGGGTTTATCTCTAGGTCCTATCCTCGCTAATTTAATTAAGAAACGGACCTCTCAAAGAGGTTATCGATATGCTTGACTTCTATTGTCGTTACGCTGATGACACTTTCATTATCGTCGATCAGAACATTGGGAAAGACAAACTTTTAGAGCTATTTAACAATAAACATTTAGCAATCAAATTTACATGTGAAGAGAAACTTGATATTAAACTACATTTTGACATTTTGTTAGACAGAAAAGAAAGTGTATCAGCAGAAGTGTGTATTTGAATAGTTCTTCAACAAGCCAGCACACATATTTCTTGAGCTTTACACCCATTCGTTATAAGAGAAGCCTAGTTAGATGTCTTTCAACTAGAGTTAGGAATATATACTCGGTCGATACTATAGACAAAGAACTAGAGTTTGTATATAATATGTTGATTGAGATGGGTTGTCTACAAGGTTTCTTGAAGAAACATTTGCATGTAGCAAGCAAGAAAGTAGCGACATCAACGGCTAGTAAGAAACCTCTCTTCCTGACGCTGCCATTCAACGGAGATATAGCTGGTTGTGTGCTACGGATAGACTGATTAGAGCAGTTAAGAGAACGTTTAATGCAGCTAACCTCTGTTTATCGTACCCATCCGATTTGTGACAACGATAAGCTACCAGGTCCTACCACGTCTATGTGTATTTACGATTTTAGCTGCTTCTGTGGAGTAAGCTGTATTGAGTGCACTACCAAACAACTGAGCCACCGAGTTAGTGAACACTTCCCTTCGTGGTTAGGAAGGGTGCCACCCAAACAACACTCATCTCTATTCTATCATATTTGGTCGATAGTGTTCATGTATTAGATAGAAACAAGTTATTTAAAGTGAATAATCGTTTTCCTACTAGTTTTCCTTATCGGATACGATCTCATCTCTTACACATAGTAGAAGCTAAAGGAATTCAAGCTAACAATCCAAGTCTATGTGTTCATAAGACATTTGTAACACCTTTATCTCTCCTTTGGTCTTAATAAATGATTTCATTTATTACTATTTTTCATATTTTTTCTTCGTTTATTTCCCATTGCAAAACATTGATTCAAGCCTTTATTATTCTTATCACGATTAGTACACTTATCGTCACACTATCCATTTGTACTGTTTACTTATTATGTTTATTTATGTAATCTATTAAACTGTTATCAATGAATCATGCCTTGATTAGTTTAATAATTTAATATATGCATATAAATATTACTGTATATATTAGAGTAAATCCTCATATGGATCTTATCGACAATCATATTGTTTATTTGTGTTATCCTAAATGATCACTTATTATAAATCCAAATTAATTAAATGGGAAAAGTAGAACATCTGATCACTAATTGTAAATTAAATTATATAAATAATTAACCATGAAATATGAACCGAGAACAGAATTACGTAAAAGAGTATAAACGTGGAAACATTTTGGACAAGGTGAGAGATGAAAGTGTCCATGGTCATTTATGAATAATATATAACTAATGATGAAAAACACAGTCATTCAATGCACTTGTTTCCCTTATTCATGATTTTGTAATAATGTATATATATGTTCACTGAACGTTCACTATCTACATCACGTTTTAAGACAACATTATTATCCAGTAAGTAATAAAACTTGTTACTTACTGTTATTTCACACTATGAAGTATATTGTTTATTGAACAACCGGTACTATTCAAATTATATTAATGTAACGAATAGAAAAGAAAAGAAATCACATCTGAAAACATATGTTCTCCTTTCTCATACATTTTTTGATGAATAATGATAAGAAGAAAATGATTATATAATACGATTGTTGAATGAAGTAGTTATTTGTTTAATTTATATAGTTGTATCATCAGAATGATTTGTTAATTCACTAGGTGTTGTTTTGCTTGTATTTCCCCATTGTTATTTAGGACTGCAATTGATCAGTTTCTTTGTTGGCAAATGTGTAGCCTGTGAGGAGTGCCTCGATATTGTCTTGAGTCACAAGCTTTTTAAGCAAAGATGGATAGTGGCTTGCAGTGGAATGCAGGACTCGCGTTTCGTCCTATTTAGGACTCGTCATCTGGATGTACCCGCATCCCAGAGTTGATGTTCACTCCATGAATCGAACCCAGTAACATTTGCTTGGCTACTGAGTCCTGAAGTAAATGGTACTGGGTTCGAGTCCCGAAGTGAACATCAACTCTGGGATGCGGGTACATCCAGATGACGAGTCCTAAATAGGACGAAACGCGTGTCCTGCATTCCACTGCTAGCCATCATCCATCTTTTCTTCGAATGATTTGTAGTTAATTGAGTAAATCAACATCAAGAAGTTTTTTGTAACACCGAATAGCTTTAGCATAAGGTGCATTTAAAAATCAAGAAGGATTGGATTGTGAAAGTGTAGTCGAGGGACGAGTTAATTAGAATAGAAGGTAATTTAAAAGTGATTCAGCTTTATCTAATATCATGTAAAATAAACAATGGAAATACATTTGTATAGTGCTTGAGATGTCTAAATCTTAATGATACAGTTCTTTTGTCATTGTAAAGTAAGAAAGATAGTAGCAAACGTATCAAATATTTTATTTTTTCTATGTAGATTTTATGTAGTAATCTAATATCTTAACTTTATCTATAAACCCCTAAACCTAATCAGCAACAATCTTAAGACTCTTATAAATCTTTTTACGTCCTTATGAGGGTTCTAGTAGCCGGATGTTTTACATTCACATAGACAAATTTATGAGTCTGTGGTATAAATTTTGTGTACCGTTTGTAATTATAGTGTTTTACTACATAAACTATTCATGTAAATCAGCTGCATTCAAACTGACTAGCAGTAGGCTGAAATTCACCGAGCTTATTTTAAGCTTGCCACTGTATTGTACTCTAGAGTGAAGGAAAATTACTTTTTTCCTTCAGTATCATTTTAATACAATTGTTAGTTTTTGGTATAGACTTTATCAGAGATTAGTGAATATTATTGATTTCAATAACTGAACTAAGTGCTACATCTATTAAAAAACCCAGGAAACATTGAACTCATGCTTAGCCCTAGGGAA